ATATATATATATATATATATATATATATATATATATATATATATATATATATATATATATATATATATATATATATATATATATATATATATATATATATACATATATATATATATATGTGCGTGTCAGTGCATAAAGATCAGTCATCTAAGTTCAGAGCCGGTTCTGGTACACGAGCACACCATCATACCGGTTGCTCGTCCCCGCTCTCGCCGTCACTGCCAAATAAATCCGGGGCGCCACTTGATTTTCCTTTCTCATTCTCTTTGCTAACACTGCCATCCGATACAGCGCCTGCATCCCCACCGGCCTCCTTCGCTTCGTCATCGTCATCTTCATCATCACTACCAAACAGTCCAGCTGTGACGGATTGTTTCTTTGTGCTATCTATAGGTGATCCCCCGGGCGTACCGCCTGCAGCACTCTCACTGCCGCTTCTGCTTCGACTGCCCGACCTAGATCTAGATCTAGATTTGCTACGAGATCGCGACCTAGATTTGCTACGAGATTGCGACCTAGATTTGCTACGAGATCGCGATCTAGACACCGATCTAGACCTCGACCTCTCCTTCGACTGTGATCGAGATCGAGTTCGTGATCTAGACCGAGATCGTGACCTACTTCTAGACTTCGAACGTGATCGTGAACGTGATCTAGATCTAGATCCAGATCTACCTTTACTTCCACTGCGATGGCTCCCTACACTCCTCGCATCACTTCCGTTATCACTGCCACTATCTTTGCGTGTACGTTTATGACTATTGTTATCATCGTCACTGTCACTGTCGCCGAAGAGATCAGCGGCCCTCTGGCCGTCCTCCGAGTCACTCATTGTGTGTTAAGAATACTGTGCCGATGGAAGCGAATATGTGCTTTCCATATGTATCAAGCTGACCTGTCTCTACACACTTGTCTGTATGCGTAGTTGTGTACTCGTATATATGCGCTGATATATGGTTTTTACACCTCCTGTGTTGTGAAGAACACCGTATGTATTTCAATCAATATTTTGTGGGTAATAATTACACTACATTTATCATCATGCAAAATTTTAAAGTCACCGGGGGCATGCAATTTCAAAATTGTATTCAGTTTATTTTGCCGCTAATAATAATATAAATATGTCATCCTGACGCTGGTCGAAGTCTTCAGTGTCCAAGTTTGCTGTGAAGGCTGTGGGGTATATGGATTCAGAGATTGCCAAACTCACGCGAGGCTGTGCCGCTGTGGTTGTTAGTTGTATGTTATAGAACTCGCCAACGAATACCATACTACTGGCCTATAAAAGTACTTTAGTACCTTGGACTTTATAGCCCAGACATGAACAATTGAAGTTTACGTTCACTGTTCGCTGTATTTCGTCATTTTCAAACGAGACCAGGAAACGTTCAATACCTGCACTATTTGAGAATCTGTACAAAATAATAGACTGACAAGATACACGCAGCACGGCAGAATTGTTCTCTATGTTTGGGTTGAGTATCGAAAGCGGTTCCTATATTCTCGCCTATCACTTCAATATACATGTGGTTTACTCGTGCTTATAGAGTGCCCTCGTCATTCTCCTTTGGATGATCGCTATATCAGTTGAAACAGCTGTTGATACGCCCAAGCTAGAGAGATGGTCAGAACTAGACAGCAACCTTTTATCTGCGTGAGTGAGATACCACTGCCAATGTTTATGTGTATGGTATCTTCTTTTGGTGTACTCTGCCATTAGACCTTCTGTCCCAAACATGTACATATGGTGTGCAGTTTTTGTCAGCGCTGACCCGATTACAGATAGTAATGTAGGCAATTTCGTATAGACACTTTCTGTTAGGTATAGATGTCCACGGGTGTTCATGTCATACGGGGTCGAAGTACCCGTGCCAGGCTTACCGCAAGCTTCCCTTTACATAAAGTTTTCGATAGCTTCGCAACTAATATAAAAATTGGTGAACAAATTGCACTTGATATTTGAGCTCGTTTCTTGCTGCGAGTGATCTCTCTAGAGGGCTATCGGGTGGAATCGTATTGCGAGTTGCACTACATGAGCTGCGGTCCTAGATTTTATATAAATATAGAAATACTGCATTATACGACGTCCCTCTGGGACTGTAAGTCTGTCGCTTGTTTTCTGAAACACAGCCTCCTCCTCTTCATTTCTTGTGGGAATAGGAGTTGTGTTTCACACAAAACCCCCTGTGGGGAGATTTCTCTCGCTCTCTCTACTAGAGAGTCTTTAGAGTAGAGAGAAAGAGGGTCGTCGTAAATATAAGCAATCAAAAGTATTCCGAGGCATCGACCAATGGATATCACGCTCTCAACTTTTGCTTTCATATTTACACATATTATATGACTCCCTATTTAATAGATAATTTACGCCGAAATAAATACATGGAGAAATATGTCTCCGAGCATCATAGCTGAGTGAATATATTTATTTTGCGCATGTATTAAAAAAGTAGCGTCTATACATGTTCGTTTTCAATAAAATGCGCGTAGGGACGTTACTGTGTATACCTCTGTGTGGGCTGCTGCCTATAGCGCTGGGCAGTTCCTCATGGGAAGATAGCACAGCTACGGCCGGTCTTTCCGATGTCGAGGGTATGTTATTAATATCTCACGCAGTTTTAGTAGAAATACATATGGTAAGTCAAAGATTACACTTTAATGTATGAAGGCTTACATCAACCGTTTCAATTCTATATGATTGCATATCTTTGTGCATCTGGCTATCAGTCATGTAGTCCACTATCGAATGTCGGTCTGTCCAGCTATAACAGGCGCCTCATTTAGAGATAGTGCTCGTCTGCTCAGTATATTTGCATGTATATTTTCTCCTTTGGGAACCTGTTTTGGTACTGGGCAAGGGTTCTTGATTGAAATGCAAATGATCGATGCTAGATAGTTGTATTCCTTTGGCATCGCTTGGATATATATCAACATCATCCCGTCGTTGGTA